AAAAAGCATTTTTTAAAAACTGTAAAATAATGATTGTACAAAGCTGTTAACTCCTTTGAATCTTCTACGTTTTTTTTTTTACTTTTTTTTTTTTGCCCCCGATCGGTTCAACTGTTAGTGCATTTAGTACTTGTAATTGACACCTTCCATCCACAATGAACCAATAATAGAATTATGACAGCAGTGAGTGGATCACAAGTTTCTCCACTAATTCTCATGCCTCTAGCCTAAAAATAGTTATTTGCACAAATTTGTCCGCTCGACTTTAGCTTTATTATAACACACATTATTTGTCTATAATTCATAACAATGTATTATTAGCTCTTATGTGCTTTCTAATAACGTGATGTTTTTAATGTAAGTCGTGGTAAATCACTTGAATACGATTAAATGAGATTGGCAAAAATTTTGAAATGCCACAGATGAGTCGTGAGGAACTTATCTTTCTTTGAAAATTTTGACAAGTAAAAATGCTTTGAGCGGCGAATTCATAAAATGATTTTAGTTATCAGTGAGGTGGAGTGCTTAAATTCAAGAAGGCAAGCAGCAGCATTGGAGCTTAAGAAAGTTAAACATATCGAACTGTTTGCCTTAGAAAAGTGCATCGAACTACCATTCCATACATCTCCTCTTACTTCTCAAACGTTTACCTAAAATCTTTTTGTTTTCTTTTTGGCCCATTCGTCAATTTCACCACTGTTGTTGGTACATTAGTGCACGTAGAAAAAAGATTACATTCGAAAAATGATATGATAACAAATAATAATAATCGGTAATACTTTCAATGTACCGCCAATGTAGCTAGTTTTAAAAATATCATTATAACATTTGATTTTTATTGTCAAATAACGGATTAACCTCATCTCATCCATAAAAATTCGGAAATTCATCATTTCAATTGTTTAATTTAAGTCACTACTTCACTAATATTTAGTTAAAAATATTTTTAACTTGATGTTTGAGCTAATCACTTGAATTATATAAGAATATATCCCTAATCGTTGCACAATTAAGGTATGTAATTAATAAATTTACGTTTGGTTTTATATTAAAAGAAGTTGAAATGAAAAAATGTTTTCTTTGCCCTTATAGGCACTAATACGTGCGTAATAACAATTTAAACCTCATAATAATTCATTTAAAAATTGACATAAAATATTTTACGCAAAAATTTGTAATCTTTGAATATAAAAAATATAATAAGATTATAAACTTCCAGCTTATGGGACTTATTATTAATATAAAAAAAAAAAAAAAAATTGTTTTGAAATAATGAATAATAACAAATATTCAACTAGTTTTTTTTCATTATATGGTTTTTCTAACATATTTTATTATAATTTTAAATACGAATGTAGAATTAATTATCCAATGTAAATGATAATTTCTATAAAATAAACAATTTCACTAGCATTTTAAATATCAATAGTGTTATAGTTGGTTATTTAATTTAAAATTTTTAGCAAAAGCATTTTTGTTTATTAAAATTTTATCGAATCGCTTTAACAAAATTCGTTTCAATAAATAGTCTAATAAAGTAATATTAAATCAAAGATCAAACAGTACACGTGCATTTCTCATCTCGTAATTATTTTATAAGTATTAATTTCGTAATAAGTACTAATAATAATCAATACTAATAAAATAGGACTTTTAATGATTTATAAATATTAGGATAAAAACTATTTTTTTCAGTTTTTATAAAACACCTCAATATTATTTTCATGCAATTTATAACAAATTAAATTCAGGATAATCAGTTGTAGGCATTATTAGACCTTTGTTAATACAGTGTATTCATTTAGATTATATATATATATATATATATATATATATATATCATATAATTTAGATTACGGTCACCAAAGACTGCAATAACAAAGCTACCATAACCGTAACAAGTTAAAACAAAATTCATAGTTCACATTTAATTAACAATTCAGTCCGGTAATGTCGACGACTCGGCACGCGGTAACTGTCGCGTTTGATGACAAAGGAGGTGTAAATTCATGGCGAGCAGAGCTAGATAAGAGACGAAAGCAAGTGAGAGGGAGTGAGAAAGCGAGGGGACGAGAGACAAGATGCAGGAAGAAAAGATACGAAATGTATTTACACATACGTATATTTGTGTATATATATATATATATGTGTGTGTGTGTGTGTGTGCGTGCGCGCGCGCGTGTGCGTGTGCGTGCATGCGTGTATATACACGTATGTGGATATAACTAGGCGCTTGCATTTGTGAATAATATATATTCAGAGCTCCGGAATCCTTGCTATTTTTTCGCTAAGCTACAATGTTTCTTTTTATTTTCATTTCTCTTTCTTTTAACTTATGCGCTCTTTAATATTTCGTGAATAGCAAAAAATAATTTCGTTAAATCCTTTTTCCAAGATCATACTTTGTTTCGCATATTAAGATAATAATATAATGGATTGAATACACAAAAAGGGAATTATGGAAATTAATTTGAATTGCTTTTCAAAAAGTATTTAAGCAAGGTTTTCATACTTTCTAGACAAATTAAATGTTCTTTTATCACGGTAAAATAATATTATTCTGCATTTAAAATATAAATATCGACCTTCAGATATAACGAATGCCTTATATTGTTCATAATATTTGCTAAAGAATTCACCTTAATTTTGTTAAATAACATTATTACATCACTACACATGGACTATATATATATATATATATATATATATATATATATATATATATGCAAATGTAATGAATCCTGCATACACGAGCCACTTGCATTATTAATAATGAATAACCCAATGGAATTTAAAAACGACCTCTTTCACCTGATAATTAATCAATTTTTTCCGACATTTTTTTGTAAAAACTGCGCGTTCCGTGCTGCTCACTATCGACAATGTAGAAAATTGCAATGCTGGCGCGCACGGTGTGTGCCCGTGTATCGTGTGCGTGTGCGCTATGTGCAACATCTCCTCGCAAGTTACGAAGGGCTGTTGTAATGTGCTACACTAGGGGCGTGTATCGATTGACAGACACCGGGGAACATTCTTTTCAGTTGTGCCCAATCCTCGGAGAAATCCGATCTATAGCTGAAGTGGGCCGTTGCCTGGTTCGCCCGCGACCAGACTCGCTGACAGGGGCTTCCGGTAGGGTAGGAAATTAATTAAACCAATAGTTAGAACCGGTGAGCCAAGTGCAGGCGGACAGGGCTTCCGACAAATATATCAGCGTATACGTTTGCCGCGCCTCCTGATTCCACTACATCACCTACGACTTTGTACTTTACATTCCAGACTTGCACGGCTCTTTACCTTCTTTACTTCCTTTATCTCTGCTTCGAACGCCTGCGATATATCAACTTGAATGACAATATTGTGGTTATTGTTGTTTTTTCTTTTTTTTTTTGTTTTTGTTTTTTTTTTTTTTTGCTTTATGAAAATTCTAGGCCACGCCATCGTTAATTCCTCATTCGTACTCCGCGCTCCTAATAAGTCAGTCTTTTTAGCTTCTCCTTCATCTTCTTCCTCTTCTTTCTCTCTCATTCTTCCGTCCTTAGCTTCGCTTCTTTTACATTTCATTAATAAATTAATAAATTAATGAATTTATGAGAAGAAGGTCTTCTTCGCACAACTTTCTTTCCATAACATCCCATTTTATTCTCCACTTCTTTCTTTATATCGTGGATTTTTCATTTCACCTTACTGCGTCTAATCAAATTAGTGCGATGCATAAACTCTCCTTTGCGCTATCCTTTTTTATCTGCCTTCATCTTTTCCATGGTATTCTGCTCTTTTTCTCCCCGGCGCATAGTACCGTGCACTTTCGGAGCAACATTATGTGCGGAAGATGAGAATTTACATAAGCTGCTTTGGACCGACGTTGATTTTTTTCCTTCCCGAGGCCTAAACAAATATTAGCCGACGACCTTCTCCGGCCCTTAAATAAACGCCCTTTTTATGGCTTTCGTTCGTGCTCTTTGCGTATCGTCTTGAGGAGCGATCTGGTAACGAACGTCGAAGAAACAAAACCCCCAAGTGTACATGATTGCACTCCCGGAGACTTTCTTAAAACCACGAAAAGATCAAACGAACTTTCTTTCTGCCCGTATATGAAAATAACAATACCGAAAATCATGCCTGAGTAAATAAAAGCTCTTTTGGCGGATAAAAAAAGCCACGTATCTTTGAGAAAGAAAAAAAAATCCATGTTGCATTATAGTGTGCTTATAGTGTAATTGTGATGTAAAGTTTATAATTCGGAAAATACAATTGTCTTGGCAGGAAATTACTTTTCGAATGCAGAACAATTACGTTTTCAAATTAAATTACATCACGATATTATTAGTAGTCTCCGTAAAAACCATTATTCCGCAATGAAAATAATGTTCTTTTTTTTTCTTTTTCTTTTTTTTTTTTTTTTTTTTTTTTTTTTTTTTTTTTGCTTTCCTTTCATTCTATTCGTCATATATTTATTTTGCACACACAACGTAGCAAAAGACTCGATATTTAATCATCAATCGATGACGAAATAAGCAACGCGACAAAGTCAGAAAATTTATGACCGACGCCACCACTTTGGGATCAAATACAATATAAAAGCGCCGTGCTAAATAATTCGATTTTATGTCAAAGAGAGCCACATAGGCGAATGCCTCTCTCGCTTGAAAAATGAATTACATCGAGTTATTATAGCGAAAGCTCATAATCAGCCATAAATTTTTCACGCAAGACTCGGAAAATACGTATCCCCGGCGCATATTCCCATTTAATGGGCAATCTTTGTCCGTCGGCAAATATATTGCACAATAGCCGGCGGAGCGACCTTACGTAAGCCAGAATAAGGACACAAAATATCGGTGCGCTTGCATTCGCCAGCCGATAATTGTACGCTCATAGAGCCTGAGCTATATCAAGGATTACGTAAGAGCTCGGAAGGAATGGCACGGAGCACACGGCTCTTCCAGCAGCCCGGTGAATCCCGACGCTCATCCCCCCTCTCTCTCTCTCTGTTGCAGATCGCAAACTCTTCGTGGGCATGCTCTCGAAGAAGTTCACGGAGAACGACGTGCGGAACATGTTCGACGTTTATGGGGAAATCGAGGAGTGCTCGGTGCTCCGGGAAAACGGGCAGAGCAAAGGCTGCGCCTTTGTCACCTTCGCCAGCAAGCAGTCGGCCCTTCTCGCTATCAAGGCCCTTCACCACTCCCAAACGATGGAGGTAAGCTAAAGCTCCGAGCAGGACATTTGCATGCAGCCTATCTAGCTTTCCAGGTTTGCGCTCCTCCTCCTCCTCCTCCTCCTCCCCCCCCCCCCGGTCATCTCCTTCACTCGTCGGCAACGTCCCGTCCCCCTACCTTGATCCACCCCACCCACGCGCTCCCTTTCGCCGACCAATCGCATACTAATTTTTATATTGGTCGATGGTTAGCTAGCGACATGTACGCTATGTGTGCTCAGCGCGCTGCTGCTCAAGAGCGCCCAGAAAATTATCGCGCCAGAAGGAAAATGTATTCTTGGACGGACGGCTTTCTATATCGGCAAGCCCACCAACCCGTGCTTTCATGATAAATTATCACGCCTAACGCATGCGCAAAAGAAGCCCGAAAAGTGCGCTTTATTATCTGGAGCAAAAAGAAAGGAAAAATGATCAATGAAAAAGAGAAATAAAGGAAAACAAACAATGAATACTAATACAAGCCGTACACGTGATTTATGCATGCTGTACTGATTTTCTAAATGTATGCGTAATCGTTGAGAGTCATTTTGCGTACTGCGAGGGCAAAATGTAAGATTCAAATTCTCGACTTTTTTCCATTCCATTCGGTTATGCGCTACAACTCGATAGAACGGCAATCGCTAACTTTATAATTCTTTTAAGCTTGTGGCTCTTAAGCGCGATATTTACCTCATTCGTGCAAAACTGTTCACTTAACGCGATTCCTCTAACACATTTTCCTCATTTTCTTTCGCGAAACGTGTATGCACGCACTTCCTTTTATCCATTATCCGTCTTGAATAGTACTCGTACACCCAGTGAAATATGATAGAAAACAATTAATACTCGATTGGTTATTTTTTTAACTTCTTCGAAGAGAAATATATTATCATTGAGATCTATTGTTTCTGAATCGTAAGCAATATTTAGCGGTATCAGAAGAAAATTAAAAAAAAAAAAAACAACTTTTCAAATGTTATTATTGAAAAATATTGAGCAAACTTGAGTAAAAGCATACTCGCATCGAGATATAATTATTTTATTTACAATGGCATCACATGACAGATTGTAACAAATACTTGGCATCTACTAATTCGATGCAATAAGGAATTTGAATTTCATGAAATTCAGTCAAATCATCACTCAAAAATCACCTTCATATTTAGAAATATTTACACACGTACGAGGATAAACAAATAATAAGCTCCATATTAAAACGATTAAGTTTACAATTTACAAGTTTACGGTCGCAATCTATATTACAAAAGCTTCTTACATACGCTAATGCTTATATTTAAAATAAAATAATGCTTATGCGCTAATTCGCTTGTCACTTGCTCGCGAACAAGATTAATACCGTAATCTCGATATTAAAATTAGTTTGATCTTTTTTTAAGTATTATTTCATTATATGTAAATCTTATTAATGCACATCGCGTGTATCAAAGAGACCTCGGAAACAAATGAATTGTAATTTATTGTTCGGGTAATGTCATAATAACTCGTACATTAATTATTACAAGCTTTTCTGTCGTATAGGCAAACAATATATTTTATTTTTTTTCATAGTCACGATGATATTCAGTCGTCCCGATAATAAAAGTCCACCCATACATTGGCCAATTTCAAATGTAAAAATGTTCCAACATTCTCCTAGGCGGAGGAAGTTTCGTATGATTTTGAAAGGCGAGGATTACTGTACTGTGAAAATATCTGCAAATAGATAATATATTAACGGAACCATAAATGGACAGCCAATGAAAATTTAATAGCCAATTTTGTCTCATATTGATTTATCATTTATCATTTATCTAGGCAATATGGCATGAAAATAACATAACCTCTTAATTTACATGGCTTACTAAAATTCACGAGGGTAGCTTTTGAAATTAAACATGTATATGTTTAATAAAATAAATGCCGGGAGTTGAAATTTATTTTTATTTGTAAAGTAAAAAATCACAAGTTTAAGGCGGGGCGGGCGGGGAGGGGAGGGGAGGGGAGGGGGGGGGGATCCCCGTATCTACAGGGGGGGGATTG